GAAGGGGTCATGAGCCTTTCATGATAGCAGCTTCGCAGCAGTGTCCGATGCAGCAGTTGATGCTATTGGTAGATGTTTTCCCTTTTAAACAAGATTTGACTGGAGCTGGTGGCACTTGCAGCAGCTTCTTGGCTGGAGTTTCCAGGATGTTGCTCTAGGGGGCTCATGGCCAGCGGTCCGTCAACTCCTTTGTCTGAGTTGACGCAAGACTCGCCCGTGAAGAGAAGGAAGCTGACATATGCCCAACATGATGATGTAGTTTATGCCATTAGGGAGCTGGCTGCTCGTGGCGGGCCGTTGAAAGATTTGATCAAGCCGGCAGCGAGGAAATGGGCAGACGACAAGTCTGCGAGCATAGGGTCCTTCTCGCAGCCACGTAAGCTCCCGAATGCCGAGCCTACGTACTGTACGTCTGCGCTTTGCGGAAAGTGCGATGGATGCTGGAGCAACGCTGGCAAAGTGTATCGTTTCGAGGCGAGCATCCAACAAGGCCACTTTCTCCGTTTGATTGTCAGTACTGCAGGTGATTGCTGTGGCGAGCCTCGCGTACGCAGGCGCAGCTCCGGCCAGAACGAGGCTGGCGAAGCTTTCCCAGGACTTTCGGAGCAAGATCGACTCCGAGTCCTGGCAGCCTGTGACAGTCTTTTGGCAGAGGGTGTGCACCCTACCCCTATGGGAGTCACAATTCGTATGGGCAAACCAGCTGTGGACATCGAGAAGCTGCGTGCCGTGCTGAGATGGCGCAAGCAGGAATATGGACAGGGAGCGGCCGTTTTGAAAGAGAGTGAAGCTGATTTCGAAGCGTACGTACGCAAATGGGAGGATCCCCAAGGAGGCCCACTCCACGTTCCGAGGTGGTCTTTGCATGTTTTCACATGGACTGCGATTTTGACACCGTTCTTGCTGGCCTTGGCTAACCTTCGAGAAGCGGGTCAACTGCACGAGCTTTATTTGGCTGCCGACTTCACTTTCAAGATCGACATTTTCAACTACAGCTGCAAGCCTGAAAACTCATGTGTTTTTTTCTTAGTGTTTTTCTGTACTATATTATGGTGAGTGTTTTGCTAGCGCTTCTTGTGGCTTAGCTACGCGAGTCAATCCAAGGCTTGGGCCTAGTGGCAGCTGTTATCCGGCGCAAGCTGCGAGGCACATGGACAGTGACACCATGGCCTCTTGCTGCCGTGCTGAGCCCGTCCGAAGACACGTCACATTATCGATCAGCGTTTGAGACGCTTTCCGGTGCTTTAAAGCAGCACAAGCTGCCTCAGCCAACCCAGGTGAATACCGACTTTTTTTCTGGCTCCGGAACAGCAGCTGCACAGACCTTCAAAGACATTGTTCTGGTGCACGATTTATGGCACATGCGGCGCAACCTTGTGAAGAACGACAAGGCGGCCAAGTCCAAGATGAGACTTCGTTCGGAAGGCTTTCCTGAAGTTTCTTCTGGTTCTGGCCGGCAAGGGAGCACTGCTGGAAGAGGCCGTGGACGCGGTCTGGGCAAGGGCAGGGCCAGAGGCGGAAGGGCCAG